TAGCTTCTATATTTGTAAGAAGGTTTCAAACTGCAAGCTCAGAGGCGGCAGCTGCAGGCAGGGAACGTTGGATTCCTCAGTCACTGAAGCAAGCAAGCCTCATGTTAACTTCAAGCTGCCTGGCTGCCGGCCGCCATCTTGGCTTGCAGTTAATTTGCATATTGCCCTGATTAGCCAATGGGAAGGGTAGCGGATGTACACTAATTACCATGTTTCTCTTTTCTTAGATAGGATTATTGACATCAGTTTTAGTGAGGCTAATCTAAAAACTTCATATTTTGTTATACACTAATATGGAGCTTGAAATGTATCATTTTCCTTCCTTGTACAAAATGTATGATAGTACATCTTAGTTCAAAACTATATCTATGCCTGCAGGCTATACCTATATTGGATGGCTTGAAGCCCAGTTACCTTCATTCTGGATCCTGTGAACCAGAATTGTACAACCTTTAGGTAACTGATTTAGTCTAATTCAGCAGAATACTAAGAAGCTTACAGGAGTGGTCATTATGTGGATTTGAGAAGAAGCTTCTAGAGAGAACAAGAAGGGGCATTCTAAATATTTAGAAGTATAGTAATCTTACTTAGAGCCTGATGTTGAGTAATCTACATAATGTTTTTCTTAGAAGACGGACTCAAAACTAAAATAGCTCAGTAAATGAATCGCCCAGCTGGCATAAGCAGACAAATGTTTGCATGTTGTGTGTTTTTCAGAGAGAGGGAAAAAATAACAACTAGTAATAAAAGGAAACCTAGGTGGTAACTGCAGGACTGGTCAGTAGACCAGTGAGTTACGTTTAATTCCCCCTGGTTTCCATCTTGTCGCTGAGAGTGCAGGAGAGCAGCCCCAAGGACCCCATCATTTTCTTCTGGCAACCATCCCTGATCCTGGCAACCATAGATTATATTAGGTTCATGTTCAGTTATATTGAAAATCTGGCTTTACTTGGTAGTTCTGAGTAGGTTCACGTGCTGCTGGATTCAGGCATGTCTCTGGCAGGACATGTGCCAAGTTGTCTTGCTTTCAACTATTGGCATTTAATCGCTTTATTCTAATCATCATGAGGAACTTGATAAAGTATTCTGATTAAAATTTTATTACTGAATTAGAAATCAGATGAGAATCCTGTGACATTTAGTAACTGTTGTTTTCCCAAATCACCTATAGGATATTTTTTGCCATACTGCCTGGATACAAGAGCTCTGATATAAGTAAAATTGATAATTTCCCAGCCATAAACATAGCCTTAAACTGGCAGATGCAATGCTATCACAAATGACAAGAGTTGCAGAATCAAGATACTAGCAAAACAAGATGATAGTGAAAAGGTTCTCTGAATTTTTTAATCTGCCATATTTTAACAATACAAAACTTATCAACGCAGTGACCTAGTTAAACCCTGTAGGAGTTGAAAAACAAACAAAACGGGTATCTATGTGCTATTCAAAGCAGTATTTGGAGATAACTGAGCAAAGAATCTCTTAGTCTACCTCTGTAAAATTCCTAAACAGCTAATCTGGTCATTGTAATGCTTGTTTTTAATGTAA